CTTTTTCTCAATCAGTTTTTTTAGCAGCAAGCTATAATTCGGCTGCTCTTCCTCACTCATAGTTCATTTAATTTTTCTAAGTTCCTCATCGACACTTTGTTAAAAGAAGCCAAAATCAAAGATTCAGAAGCTTCTCGCTGAAGTAAATGAATTTGATCTAACCCAACTGAAGCAAACACTTTCACGAGAACTTAAACAACAGTACGAAATCAGACTGCGGATCATCAAAAAAATGACCAGACTTTTTGATTATCATGCTAATATGCTTGATACAGTTGCTCAAAAATAGTCGATAATCCACAGATATTTTAAACTTAACAGCTGACATAAGAGAAGCTATCATTACTCTAAACATTTATCTTGAAGGCCATGAAGTGGCACTTCTACGACTAAGCCACGAAGATACCGGAGTGTCAACCTTAGAGGGGAAAATAATCACCAATAGCGCAACAGTAAACCTTCCACAAGTTGTAAGAATATTTCGAAGCCATCGATGAAAACTTGGAACAACCCAGTGTTGAAATTGCAATTGGAAACAAACTACGCTTCGATATTATACAAAGTGTACCAATTAAAGTCGAAATTGACAGGATGGCCAATTCATAAAACCTGGCAATTTTTGAAAGAATTAGTACCAGAAACAAAGAAGTTACTCGAAATCAAACTATAACCAGGGAGAAATTAAAATTAATGCTAATGATGAAACTTCAGCTTTATCTACAATGGATAAATAATTCAATCAAATCAATTAAGTCAACTTTCAAAATTAAAGGAAACTATTGGCAGAAAAACTAGAAAACCATGCGCATTTTGTAACAAGGACATGTTTCAAGTATCATCGAATAGGGCATAAATCAACTGAATGCAAAAGAAGAAACCTTCTTGTTTCTATTGTATTGCTACGACATTGTCCACTGAAATACAGAGAATTCTCACAACAAGTAAGTTTCAATAAAGAAATTGTGAATTTTACTTTTATGTAAGGATATGGGGGTAGCTAATCCATACCACTCAGAAATTCAACAAAAAAGCTTTGGCATTATTTGACATTTGGCTCACAATCATTCTTTATATCGAAAGAGTTGGCAAACCGATTGAGATGAGACAGAACCAAAAGAGAAAATCTGAAACTCTTCTCATTTGGTAGCAAAACTCCGAAATCATATCGAACTACAAAATTAGGAATCGGAGTAAGTCTCTCTGAAATTATAATCATTGATACGAAATTAACTCCGAAATTATAATCATTGATACTTACGAACTCCGAAATTATAATCATTGATACTTACGAATTAAATTACCTAACAGAGAAACTACAAGTAATTAACTTAAACCGCCAGCGTTTGCCACAAATAATAGCTCAAGAAAAGCTTGCTAAATGAAGTTCATTAAATGGCATCAGGATTCTATGTAACCCATACAAAGGTTGGTCCTATAATAAGTGGAGGAGGATATATCAACAGATTTCACAATTATGACGAAAATATAAATTGGGGATAGTTGCTTCAAATCAAAGCGATGAAACAGTGTCACTATGATCTCAGAAATAGAAAACCCTAATACTTATGATGACGAGCAAGAGTTAAGACATTTCAAAGGAACAATCGCTAAAAATGGAAGATATCAAATATCTTGGCTCTGGAAAAGTTCGAATGTTTGTCTAAATGATAATTGTAGTCTTTATATCGGAAGATCAAAAATATTAGTTAGATAGTTCATAGTGACAAATTACTTCTCAATCGTTACAACGAAATAATTCAAGAACAAATGGGATCCAAAACAGTGGAAGAAGTAACCTCAGAAATGAATCAGGTTGCCTTTATATATAATTTGCCGCATCATGAGATATTAACACCAAATAAATCGGCAATAAAATTAAGAACTGTTTACGATGTTTCCGCTCACACCGAAGGTATGTTCTATATCTGGTCTGATCGGACTTCCAGATTTAACAGGCATATTGCTTCGGCTAAGAATGAAAAGGCATTTTTACAATTGGAATTACACGTTTTCTTTGGTTGAAAAACATAAACAGATCAGTCATCGAAGACAACATAATATGTTATAGTTTCCAAAGAGTTCCATTTGGAGCGATATCATTCCTTTTTACGAGCACTCAACTACTATTTAGAAGCTCATGGAAGCAAAACGGCCTCCTTAAAGGTTCAAAAAAACCTTTACGCTGACAAAATTATATTACCGGCTAAAGTAACTCAGGAAGCACTCAAACTTCACGAAGAAACCAAATGTATCTTCAAAGATGAACAGCAGAGAATTTTTTTCAAATGACAATGAATTCAACAAAATGTCATTCCTGAACACGATCCAGCAGAATCATACTAGCTGAAGAAAATCCTTGGAGTTAATTAGAATCACAAAAAGGATATCTTTCAAGCCACCCTAAAACATAGGGACAGTGGAGATAAAAAAACAATTTTACAATTCGTAGCATCTCAATACGACCCAATGGGATTCCTTGTTCCATCTATGATACAATTAAAATTATTTAGAATTTATGGAGAAAAAACAGTACTTGGGGATCGCTCTATAAAGATAAAGAAATTTGGTGATGGTCAGTAGATGTAAGGAACACCAAGACATGGATATGTTCAGAGAAAACGCAACTTCATGTCTTTATAGATGCATCAAGCGTGGCATATTCAATAGCAATACACAAGCGTTGCTAAGATACTCAAGGAATCGAAACGTCCTTGATATTCGCTAAATTCCGAATCGCACCAATTAAAGGTATCATTACACCCTGACTGAAGTTATTAGCAATGTTTATTGGAGTACAGTTCAATTCAATTTGCATTAAATCAGTTAGAACTTGAAAATACACTAGTAATGTCATGGCCCGCCTCTAAATGTGCATTATATTGCATCCACAACCGTTCCCAACTACCACCAAATTATGTGCAAAAATGAGTAGAAATAAGAAAAGCAATATTCATGTTTCGTTACATTTCAAGTATAATCCGGCCGATATTGTAACAAAAAAACTATCTTCAATCAAACTTAAGAATTATGAAATATGCTGGAAAGGGCCATCATAGCTGGAAAAGGAGAAAACCAACTGACTACAACAGGAATACAAGTTCGACGGAAATTTTGGACATGAAGAAGAAAGCGAAATTTTTGTCGTCACAACAAAATTGTTATAAAGAGAAATTTTAAACTTGAAGACGCTAGCTGTTTTAGTGAGTGGTCAGGAGTAGTAAAAACAAGAAAAATTCCATGGTTACAATCCTTATCAACGATAAAGGATCAACTTACAAGGGATAATTACAAATTAGCTAGAAAGATTGATTAGACAAGCGCAATCGTAAGGAATAACTGAAAAAGAAATAAGTAAATGGAATCTATATTGCAACAAAGAAAATTACTGTTCCAGAAGTCGGTTAGAAAATTCCGAATTGAATGAAGATAGTTTACATCCTATTTACCTTCCAATACACAACTCAATAACTGAGATATTTATACAACGACAATAAGAGGAACTGTACCAAGCCGAAATATGCCCATACACTATCGAAATTGCAAACAGATTTCTGGATATTCAAATGTAGAACCAAAATTAATTAAACAAATGTATGATTTGCAAGAGATGGGAATCGAAACCATTTAAACTGCCGAGTCTTCTAAAAACCGAAATCATACGTTTTCGAACATTTGTGTACGTTGGATTAGATCATGTGAGTCTTCTTTCTACTAAAACTGAGTTCGGTAATATGTTGCCCGAAGGGGTTACCCTAAATTAATCTTGAATGATAATGCTGGCCAATTTCAGTTAGTTTTCCAGAGAACTATCTCCAGACTATTACAGAATGAAATGTACAACTAACAGAATTCATAGCAAATAAAGGAATGGTATGGAAAAATACCATACGAATAGCTATGTGGGGTGGAGGATTTTATGAAATAATAATTGGAATAACCAAAAGTGCAATGAGAAAAGCCATGGGGAGGAAGTTGTTAATGAGAAAGAGAATTAATAACATTAATGATAGAAATACAAGGTATATTAAATATACGTCCACTAACTTATGTAAATTTTGAAGATAGTCATATGCCCAACTTATTTCGTTTCACTAACGCTTCGCTCAATGTTCCAGTGTTTAACGAAATGATCCGGAAGAATTTTCTTCACACAAACCAAATACGAAAGAGAACTTATCAGATATTGGACAAACACCCTCAAGACCTTAGATACATTTTGGAACATATGGGCAAATGGGTATTTGAGCAGTCTTCGAAAAAGAACCCAAACAGCACATTCCTCTCCAAAAGATGTAGTAAAAGAAGGGCTCCCAGGATAGTCAATGAACCAGAAATTCCCCGTGGTATATGGAAACTAGCCACAATAAAGGAAATTGAAAGAGAAAGGGATGGAGAAGTAAGAAGTGTCTCAGTAGAATTACCACAAGGAAAAATTCTCAACAGATCAGTGAATATGCTGCACCCACTGGAAATCAACGACGAGGGAAATTCGAATTCTCAACCAACAGTGTTTAATAAATCAATTCAAAGTATCGATAGCTCAACGAACGTGTTACAAGACTAAAAAAGACGAATAATGATTCAGTTCCTCCTATCCAAAATTTCCTAATTGACTTCCCCGTCAGAAGTGTCGCGAAATCCTAAAATATTAAAAATAAAAATATAAATGAAATAAGGATAAAAATATGTTCGAATTTTTGAACCCTTCCCAAATGATGTTTATACTGTGCATTCTTTATACATTGTTTCCAATAATGTTTATAGCTTAAATCCCTTGTTTCTAATGTTTCTATCGTAAATCCTTCATACATTCTTTCCTACTTGATATCTGAACCTTAAATTACGTCCCTCTTTCCTCGTTTATATTATGACTATAACCATTCTTCAAGCCTGACAAAGAATTTATCATCACTATTCTCAGTTCAACTATATATGTACTTAGAATCAAAACCCTGATAATGATAAAAAAAACATGGACATCTCTCATAAAGGAGTGGCGAATGGGCGTTAACGAAATACCGAAGCTAGCAACGGATATCTCACAGCGACGACAACTTCATATATTCACCGATGCTTCAAGTGTTGTATGTCAGCAGTAATAGATTTCGAACGAGCGCAACAATGAGAGAGGAAGAGTGTTACTTTTCGCTAAATCAAGACTCGCTCCAATCAAAGGCATGAATATACCACGACTAGAATTACTTGCAATGCTTACTGGGTAGGAGTTGCCAATTGTTATACAATAATTGAAATTGCAAAAATTATCAGTTGTGCTGTGGTAGAATTTAAAGTGCGCATTGCACTAGATACAAAATCGATCGGAGTTGCTATTTACACTTTTCATTCCGATACATCCCATGTAATTATGACCCGGTTGATATTGCAATCAAAGGATTCCTCCCGCAAAATTCAGACAATATGAATTATGATGAGAAGGGTCACTGTGGTTAAAGCAACCCAAAAGCGAATAGCCCTGGTGTGGATATCAAAATACAGAAGAACATGAAGAAAAAATGGAAAGGGAAGGACGGATCACTGCAAAGGTATTCATTCAAACAATCCAGGAAGTATGGTTTTTGTTTATAGATGCAAGTCGATTTAGCGAATGGTCCAAATTATTAAAACCACTATTCGACCTTTCAAATTTATTAAGCAAATGACAATAGAGAAGATAGCACGGTTACAACGAGTTGAAGTTGAAGGGAAGAGACTGTCGCGGATTTTAACATCGCGAAGCACTAAATAAATGTTAACAATGCTTAATATAGCAATCAATTGATGTCTTTTACAATTCATCGTAATGGTTTAATTGACTTTTGATCTTATACCAATTCATATACTATGAGCATCTATCATGTAATGTCTATTACAACTCATAGCAGCCATTTATCATAATGCCTAGACAAACCATTGTACTCTCTTTCGTGATATCCATTTTTAAACCTATTGTTAAAGTTACTTACTATCATTCTTTGTACAAAAATGGCTAATTATAAACATTCCCACATTTTAACACATATAATGTAAGATAACTGCTATATAAGGATCACCCTTGTTAAAACATTTAGTATATGTGTAATTATCGCAAGGACCGACGATTCCAATTTCAATTGTTCTCTATCAACGTTTTGTCCCATTACTTCTGCTAATAAAGAACTTGGATTATATTTCTGTTACCTCACGCATTTACATTTACATCCAAGACAATCTCCCTGCGATCAAACACCTCTCCCAATATTATTAATTAAACAAATCAAAACCTTCCACGATAGAGACTAACACCGGAAGATTTTAAATTTAAATTAGCGAAATGGGTGTTGAGTAGTCACGCACAATACGAAGGAATTAATGAAAAAAAAAAGAAAAAATGAAATTGCGAGGCGATCACAGAACAATATCTCAAGTCCACCAAGGTTGTTGTATACATTCGAACCGACATGCGGATACCTGCAATGAGATTCAACAACATTACCCGGACAGTGTGTACTAAAACCTTCTTAAGATTATTATTATCCATTATTTCTGGCAAGACAACTACTTCCACCACATCTTCGCGTTTCTGCAGAGATTTAGATAATCAAATGGAAATAAATGGAATTTTTTTGAAACAAGTCACTCTTAATGAATGGATAACGAACAACGATATATAGTACTTACATGAATAGTTAAGAACTAAATCTCAATCTATAACAAATTTTGTTTTTACAAAGGAGAAATGCTTATCTACAATAGAAATGGATTAGTGTCAGATCACGACAGTACGGCCATTGTCTTAACAAAGTGGGAAATGTATAACGAATACTAGTATTGTTTTATGGAACGAAAAGGAAGCAACTAAGAAATGCTTATACAGGGAAGTTGGGATTCATGCCGTAGAAATATACTCCAACAGAAAGACAGCCTAGCTTCTCAATACAGTTTCATCAATGTTCTGAAATTTTACAATTTTTAATTCGTACTTGCTTACACTCATTTACAAAAGCAGTGACATTAATTATGTTTAGAATTATATCGTACCTAATGACCATTAGATCAAAATCGACTTCAAAGGTCCCAACGCTCATGATTTCAGTCTCATGATTGTTAAACGGGGCCTCTCAATTCTTCAAAATAACAAATCCTACATAATACAATACTTCTAACACTGTATAGATAACCAGTCCTAAACACTAAGATAATAAGCTTTCTAATAACACTACACTAATTACATGATACAACTTTGCCTACAGATAACATTGTTTCTGAAACTATAAATTACACATGCAAAACTGCAACTTCGATGTCAGATCGAAAACACGCAATCCGAGAAAAACCAACTTGCAACATACTTAAGTACTAGCAGTAGCTCTTCAAAAAGATGCTGATGAATTATAAGGACTAATTTCTATTCCAAATTTTCAGCAGTCCAAAACGGTAGACTAAACTTTTTGTATATTGATAATGATTTGTTTGTTAATTTATTAATTTTTCACCTTGGTCTTGAAATTGATGTTAGTTTCAGTACCTTCGTTTGTCCAACCGAAATTACTGCCTTTAGCGATCGATGTGCGGAGTTTCAGAAATTAAACACAGAACTGATTGCATGTTCGTGCGATTCACATTTCTCACATCTAGCATGGATTCAAACCCCACGTAGTGAAGGTGGTCTCGGTGACATGAAGGTTCCCGGTATTTATAAATTTTTACAAGTTTAAGTAATATTCCGGTTTTAATTTCAATACTCTTAAATAGGCTGGAAAGTTTCCTTGCAGATTCCAGTGCTTGCAGACTTTAATAAAGATATAGCGAATGCATTCGGTGTCCTTGATCATGAAACAGGTATCTCATATAGGTAAGATGCCATATCTTGACACTTTGTCTAGGACATTTTAGAGTTTTTTTTTTTACAAATTCAAATGTGTTGTCTCTTAAACAAAACTGAGGATGTATCTCTTTTAGTTATTAATTCTTCTAGTTCTTTTCAGAGGTTTGTTCTTAATCGATCCAAGTGGTGAAATCCGTCATTCTCTCGTGAATGATCTTTCGGTTGGTCGTAGTGTGGATGAAGCATTTCGTACGCTAAAAGCCTTTCAGTTTGTGGAGAAACATGGTGAAGTATGTCCGGCAAACTGGTCCGATGATAAGCCAACAATTAAGCCCGGCATCAAGGAGTCCAAGGAGTATTTCAAAAAGGTCGATGGTCATACATAAAAAATCCAGTAGCACCTAAAAATGATTTATTTGGACGACGTGAAGTTCTTTTTTTTTTTTTTTGAATAACAGAGTTTTTTGTTTCTGTTTATGTTAAGGTTATAATTTAGTTGCTTTCTGTAGTTATATGTATGCGATTTACTCTAAATAATAAATATCTGAGAAAGGCTAATATCTGTTAAGTCACAGAATTCAAACACTACACGGCTGAATTAGTTTGGAGAAAGCACGTTTTTCGATGCATAATATGGTTCCTACATGAATCATGCTTGTTTTGAGTGAACTGCACTGGTATTTGGTTTAAAACCTGTGAGAATAACACATCAATTATATCACCAACTAAGGTGTAGGTAGCTTCACATAAGGATAGGAAGTTGTATTTCGAGTTTTAAAGTGGAATTGTTATCTTTTTATATGAGTTGCTCATTCAATATGGCAGACAGGGAAGTGATTGTATTCACACACAAATAATGGGAGGAAAAAGTTGTGGTAATTCCCGGGTTAAAACAGGATGTAGGAAACAAAAGAGAGGAGGGCTCTGTGTTGAAAACTGTTTGCAGGAGCGAAATTGTGGTTGTAAAGAGATGTAACAGCATGAAATGTGGTGTCCAGTTAACCAATTACGCTCGAAATCACCAGTCATTTTCGCCTTTGATGGCGCCAAATTTTAAAATATTGTAAAATACATAAGTACTTTGCTGATAACTGTGATTGAAATGTACCCAATGCATGGTGCATAAACAATGGCGGAACCAAAAACAACGAAAAGTGTCTTGCGCCGTATAAATTTTATTCGGGGGGTGTCAATGCCAGCAACCCAAATGTTTTTATTCTTTAAGATCAAAGAACGTGTGTCGTCGTCGTCTAGCAACTGGTCAGATTTCTGCTGGAAAATCCAACAGTTTTCAACATCCACCAAAGACTTCCCAACATAAATCCATTTGAGAAGTCAAATTGATCTGAAGAGTCAAGAAATATACCATGTTTTGAATAACTGGTCCGAATCAAGAAATATACCCATATTTTGAACTCTTCTACAGCTGCTATCCTTTCAAGTATTTTGTAAATCATTTATAATTCTCACTCAACTCTCTGCTGTTCAGTCGGTTCTCATTAAAAACCGACCACACTCAAACTATTTAATGTATAAATTTGTATACATTTTGAAGACGGTAATGTTGTCGAGAAATTGTAAATTCTTGTTAGTTCGTTTGATTTGAAGTTTGTGTAAACAAATGTGTTGAGAAGGAGTCTGTTCTGACGACTTTATTCGCTATACGCAAGTATTAATCTATAGCAACAATATACTGATAACTTCGTAGAATTTGAAAGTCTGCGAATGTGAGGTGAACAAGAAGAAATAAACTGAGGGAAAACCTAAGATTTAAATGAATGAAATTAAATGAGCGTAAAGGATCAGCAGATTTGTAACTTGCTGGTACGAAAAAAATGAATAAAATAAAGGATTTAAATCCATATATCGTAGGCAAACTGATTTGCAACAAGTGCTAAAGAGCTATCAGATGATCTTTACTCTTATGTAATAAGAGTTGGATTTTATTATTGTCAGTTGCTCATAAGAATGATTATTAGGTTAAAAAACCTCTGCAGTATTTCGACATTGCAGGCAAATTTGGCTTAGAACAAAGATGTAAATTTTAACATATTAAACAATGCACATGCCCTTTGTTAACAGTTGAAAAATTCTATACAAGCAGGTAAGTTCAGTTACAACGGGAAGATGAGTTTGCATAAATGATTGCTTACATGAGATGCAATTTGAAACAGTTTCAATTCTTGTTTAATGAATATTCAATTAAGATAATCATTAGTCCTGGATTTTTCTGACAAATGCCTCGTTTTTTAAAATTCAGCTGTTCTTATAATGGGGATTACTTTAAGTTGTTCCTTCTTTCCTCTGCATTCGTCGTATAGCATTTTTTATGTTTCTTGTTACCAAATGAGGCAATTCCTTATTTTCTGTTCTTTTTTTTAAGTTGATTAGTTCATTGAGATGAATGATAACTGTTACCCTGTATAGAACAGCATGAATGTTCCCGTTTCAATTTTTCAGATTTCTAGAATTATGACGCTGATTTCTTTACACAAAAGCAAAATTTTACCTTCTGGTCGCTTTTGATCAGTTACTGTGCTATTTGTTACTATTTCCATCCTTTTTTTTTCTTTAAGTTTTCTGGTTTAACGTCCTTGGAGTGGATAATACATAGTGTCCTTTGCAGTTCCTTAGTTTTCTGCAATCTTTTACTATATTGCTTCTTTGAAAACAATTTAGGCATGCTTCGATTTTTCTTAGATGCTCTATCCGCTGCTTGGCGGTGGGATAAATGGGATAAACTTAACACTCTCATCTCAACGGGCATTGCTGCGAAATGAACAAGGAAATCTTTTCTTAACTAAATGCTGGTTTGGACCTTCTTTTCTGATTTCTCCTGGAACTTTGTTGCCACTTGATCTCTGTGGTTTTGTTGCAAATAAAGCCGAAGTTCTTTTCCTTTTATCTCCTAGAATCGTCGATCTATGTCTGAATTGGATTCTGGATTTCTTTTCTTCTTATTACTAAAAGTTTGATTTTTCTTTTGCTAAACAAATAAGTCATTTTGTTTCTTGCAACCAGTTTTCCTAGAAAGTGCCGGAGTTTATTAACCGACCATAGTTCTTATTCCTCCTTTTGTTGGATACTTTATTTAGTATCCAAACAGACTATTTGTTTACAACAATAATTTCGGTGCTCGTCTGCTCTAGATTTTTTCCTATCGCTTCCAGCTGCCGAAGTATTCTTTCAATTATTTAGACAGTTAGTTTCTCTTCCCTATCGTTTTTCTTGAAAAAGTGCTATTCATTGTAGAGCAATTTCTTAATGATAAATGATTTTTCAAATTTCTCTTTCAAAACTTTCTTACAAAGTCATAGTTTTCTATGATGATGTAAGACATCTCTTTTAGTCAGGACATTAGATAATTCAATTTTTTGGAAATGTACTGCAGCATCAAAATTGCTCCAAAAATTCCTCCATAATCTCAGGTAACTGCTGTATATCGGTAGTGATAAATGAGGTAAATTTACTTTTGTGTGAGAAGCTAATCGGGATAGTTCTTGTTGACGGATTAGCTCTCTACTTGCGTACTCTTGGCTTAGCCACTGAAGACTAATCGAGTAAAGGCTGCTGTGACTAAAGACTGATCTAGACAGTGGATTTTTTTCTATATAGTCGACTTTGATTTCCAACAGGAGACCTTTAGATGAGTGAATAAATTATCAGGCATAATGACATTTTTACAGCATATTATCAATACACACAAGATTAATTGCAAATTGGAAATGTTTTATGATGCATACAAGCCGATTGTTACGGTCATTCAGTAGTCTTTAGTCTATAGATTACTATCTTATAGACTTAAACAAATTGTTTCGACATATTAAAAAATCGCCTCGTCTTTTCTGAATTCCAACTGAAAGAGATGAAGACCTTCGGAAGGAAGAACATGGGGATTATAGTGAACTAAACCTTGATTAATGAGAATTTTATGTTCCTTATCAATTTGTTAAAAATGAATGCGAACATATATTTGCTACAGACCAGCAGCTCTCGTTTGATAAATTACCCATGCTGTGATTATTTCCTTCTTCTAACGCACCAAAAATCTGTTCAAGCATATAAAAAAATTTATAACTTTTGAGTAGACATACTTTTCGAAATAGCTTTTAAAATGTTCAAGACGCTACATGTTTCGAGTCGAAAAGTGCATTTCTTTTATTGAAAAGTGTATTTCGTTCATCATCACTACGCCAATCTTTGCAAATTACTTTCAAAAACATTTTTAAAATTTTACTCTTCGCAATCTCACTTCACAATCAAACTTAAAACCAACAAAAAATAAGAATAAAAATAGGTGAGCAAAATTCAAAATTAGTTTAGAATATCTATAATACACAGTCTTCTAATAGAAAATTAAGAACAATAAAAAAGTTATATTACAAAGAACAAAACGCCAGTATGATAAAAAACTATGAAAATGAAAGAAAGAAAACAAACGAAAAATCACACCAAAAAACAATTAAATTCCAAAATAAAAAAAAAAAAAACAAGTAAAAAAACAACTTATAAACTCAAACCGTCATTTAAAACCCTCATTTTATACCATAATCGAAATTGTGAAAAAAAAATCCAAACTAGAGACTGCTGATTCACGCGTTCGATTTGCTTTATTTTATACCTTGCATTTCAAAATTTATACAGCATTTTTCGTCCCTTATTTTGTTTAATGATTTGTTTAATGCTTAGAAACTTGAACACATCAATTTTTTTCTTCCGAATTAAATGTTATTTGAATGAGTTATTAAGCAATTTTATAGAATGTAGGACAATAAATCACCATTTTCGAATGTAGGACAATAAATCACCATTTTGAATTTCTACTACCTTTTCCTGTCTTCTTTCATTGCAAAAAAAGAAAAACCAAAATAACGAACTATTTTATAACGAAGCATATGTCAGTATACAAAGGAAGAAAGTATAATAAGGAAGCGTATGTCACTATACAAAGAAAGAAAAAAGTAAAGAAATGCAACCCTACGAGGTATACATAATAGCGGTATAAAATGTATGACAACCGAAAAAAATTTTTTTGCAAGTAGGAAAGTAATCGAAGACCCACATTTACAATTCCACCAAAAACTTGTAAATGGAAAGATCACTAATGCATACACAGGAAACACCCAGATAAAAAAGAAACATATTCTAGAAGAGCAACAGGGTCTATCTATCCGTGCATTCCAAAACAAAGGAAAAGAATCTGTATTCTCTATAATTATACTTAATTTCCTGTTATATTCGAATGTTTCCTTTTTATCTGGATTCTTCTTATTTGTTCGGCAACGATTCTTGCAATTAATCTTCAAATTTCTGTTCGTTAGTAACATTTAAAATGTAGTGACGAATTTCCCGACATTAGAAAATAAGTTTTTGAGCAGACAACCATAAACACTATTCAGGTTATCTTCTTGAATATGTATTGTAACCAGCAAGAAAGATTTGATTTGGAATTATACTTTGATTAGCTCAAAATTATGTTTACGCTCAATTTATGCCGAAACAGTATCAGTTGTATAATTGAATAAAGCTAAACGATGTCTCAGTTGCGATGTTCGAGATATCGGATCTTGAGCAATCACCAGCTGCAGATCTCGCATAGTAACTCGTTTTGTGCGAGGGCGATGAGTCTGCACAGAAAGTATAAAAATAAAAATGAAGACAGATGAACTTCGTGTACAACAGGCTAAATTTATTAAAGATGCAAACCTGAAGTGAAACTCCAGCAGTTATTGGTTGATCGAAAGGATTACTTGTTTCGGACCAAGGTTTCTTGCTTATCTTCCCTCCACCTAACGCTGCTATTGCGGCAGCATTGGCATCCCGATTTCGTGCAGCTTCCTGATCAGCTCTTTGCAACTTGAAAAATGATTTCATTGAAAAAGTCAAACAAACAAGGAGATTCTTCAATGTAAATAAAGATGCGCGGTTCAAATACAAGTCTTTTTAACATTATAAGGAAAGAAATATGAATATTCCAGTTAACCAATTAAAATGATGAAAGTTAAAACGTTACCAACCTGTTTTGCTTTCTCAACTAGAGTGTCTTTGTCTTTCCCTTTAGTTTTACTGAGTCGAATTAATGCTTCTTTTTCACGATTTTCTCTTCTTTCATATTCTAAACGTTCCAATTCTTCCACGAAACGAAGCTGTCGGCGAGTATCATCAATTGGCTAGAAAATCAAATAACATTCGTGAACAAATAAATGAACTGTAACCAAAGACCCTGTCAGCATGGTAAGTACGAAATTTGCATACGCGATAATAAGGATGATTTCGAAGAGGTTCCAAACGGTGCTCCGCAACAATAGCTAATTTGGCAAGCATTACCCGCAATCTAAATTCCGCAGCCTGGGAAATCAGCGCGATCACATCATCTTGTGGGATACCTCCATCAGGCATTATCCGCTGAATTTTCCTGAAAATGAACTGTCAATATGAAAAAATTAACCCTATCCATAGACAAATATGAGATCGATAAATTATTTGATAACAGGAAAAACTTAACTGATAATAATGACATAACAAACTAAAGAAATAGACAAAAGCGAGAAAACTCACCGAGCAATGACATCCCCATTCAAAAGTTTATACTGTGTTTGACTCGAAGGTAATGTACGAACCTCAACTTCACTAGACGATTCTTCTACTGAGAATTCATCACTCCCTTCGGTTCTCGTATAACTTCCTGCGCTGCTAATCAATGATGACGGCGGAGCAACACTTGAAGACCTCTTCAACAAATTTAACATTGGTCAAGTTCAAATCGTAGTACACACTTGGGAGATAAAAAATAAATATTGAAAAAAGTTGACATATAAATTTGATTGCGAAGCATTTACACATCTTTACAACTTAAAGCCGAAGATACAAACATCATTGAAAAATAAAAAGGAACAAAACATACCTGTGACATGTAAGAATTTTCATTATTTGTTCGTTGCGTACTTGTATCCCATTGTGTAGGAGGCTGAGGCATATCAGGAAGTGGTGGATGTTGTGAAGCAGTGGCATCGATTCCTTCAATAATAACTTCACCCTTTTGTAATGCTGCTCTCAGCGCTGGTAAAGTCTTCAATGAAATAGTATTAATCAGGCTTTTATAACAGTATTTAAGTTGTCTGAAATAATTGGCCATTCTTTCATCATGGTAACTGAATGAATAAACTGAAGATAGACATCATGAAAAGCAATGCAAAGATAACCTTGCCGCCAGTCTACCTAACCATTAAGAGATGAACTAAAGAACTTGACCGAAGAGTTCCAATAATATTCACGCGCTATACTTTTAAAAAAAAAAGATAAAAAAAAACGGAAGAAATCACTTCAATGTAAACTCTATAAAAGTGATACCTTCTGAAGAAACGGAAGTAAATGCGGTTGTGCTTGAGAGCGCAGCGCTTCTTGAAGTCGACTGGTAAACACTTCTGGAGGCATTGAACCATATATTACTAACTGGAAAGCAAATGTACGATCATCTTTAAAATATATGTGAATTGATTTATAAGATCGTAAATCAACTATATTACTTGCAAACTAAAAAAAAATTATTGCTTATCTTCCCAAAAAAAAATTTTTTTTGCCTATTTTCCCTGTCTTCCCAAACATCCATAAAAGTTGTATCATACAACTTTTATATATATATATTATATTATATATAAACCGTTGAAACTCACCTTAACAAGTTCGGTTACCCGCACTGCAGTCTGCTGTCCTTGTTGTTGATCAGGTTGCTGTGAAAGGTGTATAAGCGTTTTGAAGAACCGCGCACATTTTGAAACCATGCTTGCTTGTTCAGCTGCATTAGCATTACGCATCTGATTTTGTTGAGTTTGCGCATTGTTAGCTTAAAAACTATTTCAGTTGAATAGAAGTGAAAAACAAAATTCATCCGACTTATTCATACGTCTGCACTCCTATTTTAAGTAATATGGTGGAAAAATTTTTATACCGCTGCAAGATGATGGAATAAACTGATATAAAAAAGTAAACCAAAACTCTGGATAACCATTGGAAAGCCCAAATCACTTAAAAACCAAGAATCGAGAGCGGAGTTTCCGAAACTATATATAATTAAGGATCAGCTACCTTGATTCAACATAACATAGTGCACGGGACGTAATTGCATGTCTTGACTGCTCACCTGCGAGACAAAGGACGGCGTTGAAGCCTGCAGTGAACACATATAACTGTAGCTTTTTAAACGTTTCAGCTCATACTCAGAACGAGGTGTAAGAATAAGAAACAGAAAAAAGGATTAAAATCGCAGTTTTCAGCACAAAAAAATGATTCGTTATGTTAATGTTAAGTTTGATACTAAGTAGTAATATATTTTTATATTTATCTTTACAGCAGTTCTTTATTCTCTTTTGCATGTCATTTCTTTTACCATTGAGATCTATGGTATTACCGAAGAAGTAATGCTTGTACTTCGAGGAACATTTGATCGACCATTTTCGCCCAAAACAGGCCCTGGAACGATTCGGAAACGCGGTCCACTACTCGTTGTTGAAATCGGAGGCGCAGGTACTGCTTCGCCCATAAAATACTGAAAACATCAAAAAGTCGTTTGCAGGAAAACAAATGTTACTTTTTCAAAATTTAGCATATTGCTGCAATAGTTAGATGGGAATTACCTAGCATTAATGCAAAAAAAGTTAGGATGAGCGCCAATGGGACCTCAAGTGCTAACAACTTTATGGCTAATCGCTGATTTTGTACAGAGGATATATCAGCTTTAATTTTCTAATATTTGGTGATAACATAGAAAAAGATTCATACTAACACCAACAAGACAAACCGAAAAAGGACTTTGGCTTGCCAAATTCCCTTTCGATCCTCTTTCCTAGATGTGTATGGTCTAGCAAGCTAAGTCAAACCATCTCTTATTTATTAATCGGAAATAGTGAGCTATCTGGGAAGTGTTTTTCGACTTATCTGAAATTACTTTGAATATTTTTCCCGACTCCTTGGTATAATCCAGCCTTATTAGTTATCGTGGCGAGCTAAAGCGGTAGAACTGGAATTTCCTGGGAGAACGCTCCCATACATAAATCAAGGAAATGAATAAATGAAAGTATAATAGATGCAAATCACAGAGTCCTAGATGTGCATTGGTCAGTTTGATTCATTCGTCGGATTCATTCACAAATATTATACTTTTGTAAATAGTAATTAAAAAGTCAGCTGCGTCTTTTGAAATGCGAACTAGATTCACGTTATGAGTAAAAAGATTTCAAGATTCAAAACAGTCAAGAAGTTAAGAAAGAAATATCAAGATTTCCTTTTGAAGGCAAACAGAGAATCGCATTCCTTCCATGACTTCTGAATAAAGAAATCTGATAAAGTATAAATAGCAAGGATGCAAAATCGTCCGAACGGAAACAAACTTAAATTTGAGAAAACAGAAAACCATATTACCTGGCGATAAAAAAGGGGCAAAAATCCTGACATATAATAATCATGCGAACTATCCATGCTCTCCATGTTATCAAGAGTGAACATACAACATGAACAGTAATTAAGCAAAATAAGGCTTTCTTCGGTCAACACCAATATTATGCAGATTTTGATTAAAAGTTCAAGTCTAACTTTATGCAAATTTCTTAACGAGTTTGGAAAACTGGAAAATAGTGGTAACAGGGCGGGTGAAACCAATCCCTGCACGAAAAATTGAGAACAAACGATCTTAATGTGGAATGAGTTAAAACTACTGTTATTCAATTAACTGTTTTCTTTAATAAGTTATTTAGTCCTGGTTCAATTTTTATCAATGCTCGCACTATTCCTTAATGATATTAATGATTTAACATATTCGCAAAACACTTTATAAACCTTAAGGAACGTAAAAAAGTAAAGCTATGACTGCAGTGCTCCAGCTTGCTGAAGTAATTCCCTTAGTAAAAAGTTATCTGATTTGGTCAGTTAATTAAGTGCGAATTCGACAGTCTCTCGTAGAAACATATTTAAGAATATTCACCATGAATTACAGCACAACATCTTGACAACGACAAACGTGACACTGAGTTATAATTTTATTTGGCTTTCAAGCACGTTTCATTTTAATCACGACACATCAACATCTAAGCCAACTACGTGCACATAACAAAAAGCATAACGTCAAATGAAATAGGCAACTGTTAATGTTTTAGTGTTGTGTAAACATAAAATCTGCTTATGAAAGGTCCTTTTGACATAACTGTATAACCAATTTTATACCATGCACATAGATGGGGTGAATCATTCATCACTATAGCAGCAGTGCACCTGTGGAACCGTTAGAAAAAAAAAATTTCATTTCGTGATCAATGAAGTGGAATTCATCCGTTCAGGCGAGCAAGAAGCAAGTATTTTCGATGTTATCCTTTTTATTGTTAAAGGAAATTAATAAACTGAAGCTTGATGAAACCGAAAAAGTGCATCATGCATAGGGTGCCAGAACAGCCTCAGTCTTCAACCAGATGAAGACTTTTTTCCTGGAAATCGGCTACTTTGTGTCTCAGGCAATGTAAATCAGACACCAACGTCATTCTTACAATGTTTCGAAAACTCGGAATAAACAAAATCTTTGCATGAAGCAGGACTGCCACTAAAAAATGTAACATATTTCCTTAATGAAAAGGTCTAATTAACAAATTTCGACCCAGCAGCGAAGCTTTATATCCCTCCCGACACTTACAAAAATTTCTTTTCCATCTCAAGAATAATATGAAAAAAAAATACCAAATTTATCAGCAGTCTAGTATTAGGTACAGAAGCCCCAACAACGACACTACAGCCACATTCCCCCTTAACCCATGAACCGTTAAATCACGTTGGATCAGACGCGTACGTAATCACGGTCCGTTAACATAACACTCGCGCGGTGTGAAATCAGGCTTCCAGTGTTGTCTGTTGTGGGTTGAAATGGTTTATTGATCGGTGGTTACGGCAAGTTGCTCCAAACCTTAACATCATTCTGTCATTAATTCATAGTGTTATATGGGACTTTTTTTTAGAAAGGTTTCGAAACAGAAGGGACCTGAAAATAATGGTTCCAAGTAAAGTAGAACTGAGACCAAGGAAGTTCTTGACTATTAATATTTGTGCTTGTATGTTAGTTTTATTATGTGGATTAGGTAAAGCTGTTATGGAAAGGAATAAAAGCGAATGGACTTACCACCTCAGATGTCTGCAGGCCTAGTACTCGCTCTGCTACAAATTTAGCTTGTTGTTTAAGTGTGCAAAATAGGAGTGCGATTTGAAGTTGCAAGCAAAGAAATTAAATGTTTGCTGTTTTTGTCACAGACACTTCTTTTCCAGTACAATGATATGGCCACTGTTAGTCGTTTCAGTACTTCTACTAACCATCATATAAATATTGAGAAAAGTTTTACGACCAAAAATTGTGGAGTATTATTCTCAGGATTTTGGTGTTTCTTCCAGTAAGTCTTTTCTGTGGAAATTTGTTGATATGAATAGACTCGCGTAGTAAACTATCTTTTTTCCCAGATTTCAACAAATTCTCTTTTTCAGATATTTCTCTAAATAAGTTTACGCGCAATAAGTAATACTTATCGAGGTGGTCATCACTTCGTAAGCTTGTTCCATTATATAAGGCATTATTGCAATGTCTGGGAGAATGGAATGCGAAGAGGCATGTAGTGCGACTATTGTGGAGTTATAGTCGATTGCACGTCTTGCCTTCATTCACTTTCGAGCACTTTCCACTGTAAAATTTCTGTTACATGAGTAAATGGGGAAATTATTCATCACTGGGTAAAATTATTTATTTTAGGCTTCAATTGCTTCAAATATATCAAATTCCTATCCAACGGTTATTATTTGCATAATTTCATAAATATTATAATTGTTATTACATAAATATAAGTATGTTTATAAATATATAAATATTATATTTAGTATACCAGTCATACTTTAAAAGTTCGATATCGATCCGCGGGAATCTACCATCTTATAACGTCTGCGGTTTATGCAATGAGGAATGTGGTTATGATGTTGGCTTGGTAGATTCTCGATGTGCTTTTTATCAGCTGAAATACTATAATGTAATAAATCAGTTTAGAAATTTAAGTTGTCATTAATTTTGTGATTTCAGTTTACTGTGCATACGCGCTGTATGCAGCTGATGAATGAACGTTGTACTATGGTCATCAATTGGGACTTCATTGTTCCACCAACTTGTGTCATAGTACGTAAAGTTAGAAGTCGCTGCAACAAACAGGTTAGGATTCAGCATTTTCGGGAAAAAATTGCACCTATGTTCGACGCAGTGACATTTTCTGTACAATATCTTTTTATATGTATCAGAAACATTGCAGTAGTGAAAATGGCTTCACGTAATAATTATGCATTGTTTAAAAAACAACGAATTTCAGCAAAATCTCATGATATTTGGGACTATACAAAAGTAGACAAAGGTATTGAATCGAAACTATTAAACAATGATATAATTCTAAAAATGTGGAAGTGATCATAATAGTTGCAGTCGACTGGAATTACTAAATGAATTTCGTAAAATTCGCTTATGAATACAGGGATAAGTGTATATTTATATCATCTCATATACAAAACTTCACTTCCTCTTTTCGGCACTTGTTTTTCTTCGGCAACATTCACGAAACATCCACATGATAACCACAACTCTGTTCGATCACGTTATTGCCTTATTGTTTCTGCTGCATTATGATTGTTTCTTGATCTGTGAAGGATGAGGATGTCTTTTTATGTCTACATTGAGAAGTGGCACTTCGAAATTTATTTATGATTTCAACTGCTACCGAGATTTCTGTCGCTCGGATCGCACTTTCAGAATACTTGACACTTTTGTTCTAGGTTTCTTCGTTTTTTTTTTTTTTTTTTTTTTGTGAATTCACGGCACTTTCGCGGTTGTTCTATTATCTCTTTTTATTGTGGTCCAATATCTGTTTTTTCAAATATTAACAAAATCAGACTTGATACTGTTTTGGATATCTTGTACATGAAATTCTGCGAAACTGGAGTATTAAATTTAATCACAATAGAAATAATTAAGTCTCAATTTACCTGTTTTTTTTTTCGAATTTTAGTACTTCGATGAATTTTGCAGCTAATTGTTGACACGATTTGTCGACCAAGCAATGTTGACTTTTTGTAATGGAAGCCACTTTTCGTCATCGTTAATCCAAAAAGTGGAGGAACTGAAGGACTCATATATTACGGACATTTTGCAAGCTTCTTTCTTTATCCGGTCCAGGTAAAAGAATTATGAAGCTCATTCAAGATAGTGTAGTGAGTTTTAAATTGAAATTTTATCTAGATGTTATCTGCAAATTTTAATGTTTTGAAATTATAAATAATCAATAAGTAGCCTACAATCTTATTATTGTGCAAGTTTTGTTTCATAAAATACAAAATGCAAAGTTCTGTGATTGCAGGTTATAAATATTCAACAAATCGGAGTAGGGACAGCATTACGTTGGACCAATATGTTTCCTGAAATCGACTGTCGTATAATTATCGCTGACGGCGATGGTACAGTTTCGTTATCTCTGGATGCTATTAACGAATTGCAGCGGAAATTACCCGTAGCTATGTTATCATTGGGTACTGGTAACGACTTGAGTAGGACTTTAGGATGGGGTCTGTCATAAAGGACCCGTAAACTTCGTCGAGGTTGTTTTTTACAAAAATTATTTCTAAGGACCGTGTTTTATTGTAACGAACTATAAAAGTTTAGTGATTTTTAGCATTAGTTTAAAGCATTTTTGACTAACAATAGTGACGATAGCTAGTTTTTTGGTAGTGTTCTTACAGTTTCCTAGAACATCGGAAATTTGATTACTGCTCATCAAAGAACCTGAATTTAATCAAAATATACTTTTGTAGTTAGTCACAGATCTGCCGTAACATGTAGTGTGGATACTTGCGTTACTTATGGCTAGAATATTTCATTTTTCCTGGTGCTCATGCAGTTTCATCTGTTTATACACTGAAGAAATTTCTATGAATGAACGTTATGGGTTCTCAAAAAAAAAAAAAAAAAACTCTAATGAACAGTAAGAAAAGTCGTAGCAAACACAATGTTAGATTTGTTTCGATTGCTTGTGGTAAAAAAAAAAAAGAAACTGTGGAGTTTTAGATTATCTGAATTTTAACATTTTTTTCTATTCATTGGAATACATACTGACTGATCAGATGAAATCATTGGACCCGTTCAATTTTCAAAAACAAAATATTGAAATATGTGAAATAATTGAAACCTAATGGCAAAAAAGCTGCTTTTATCGATATGACAAATTAACCTTCAGGTATACAATCAACTCGTGACAATATTCGCAAGATAGTTTATCACGCTTTTTAAATAAAATCCTGTTCTTCACTTTCGGTACAAAGGTAAAAAATATGTTTTGAGAATACATTTAAAATACAAGTCTTATGCATGCGAGAATCCTATGATAGAATGTAAATGATATAAATTTGCTCAAAGCGCTATTCATTATTAGTGAAATCAGCATAAATTATTGGCTGAGTTTCAGGGAAATTTGAAGTTTTTGCGGTAAGGTCATCATTTCACATTGCACAGATGCAAATAGGCATTTCCCAAGGTATCTCACTCAAGGAAGTAGTGTAAAGTTAAGAATTTCTGGTGGAACATTACAGTACAATGCGATGGTGAAGTTTGGCTACAGCTACCGGGTGTTATGTTCTATATTTGTCAAGGATTTCAAAGTATTTAAGGAATTCTAAAGGTGCATGTCATATTATTTGTGGCATTATTTCCATGAGTGGTTTTCAAATTTTGAGTGGAACTGCTCAACTGCATAATTTTCGTTTGCATTTTTTGCTTGTCTGAATGGTTTTTTTTTTTTTTTTTTTTGGAATCAATCAGAATTTAAAGAATCAAGGAATGTCAATAAATGCACTCGTTGCATTCGAAGTAAATTAGGATAGGTTGAATTGTGTTATTTGCTGAGGTTTTTTCCTTAGGTAATATAGATCCCATCTTCAACTTTCTTCGATAGACATTTATTTACACCCTCCATTTTACTTTTTTCATGTTGTTTGGTTTTCTGTCACTTAAAATAAATTAGCGGATTTGAGCTGAGTTTTCGTGATAAAACAAATTTGGCTTGGACTTGTCGCATATAATAAAGTACCTATCACTGTTGTGGTTTTTAAGTTTTTTCTGTTGATCTTACTGTTTTGTCTGTAGTAGCTTCAAATTATTATTGGTTTGAATCAGTGTTTAGTTAGTAAATTAGTCCCATATTATGATATCAACTTTTGCTGGGGTTGTAACATATTTCTCAGTAGTGACAGGATAGTGGTCAGTATATGTCATCCATCACTTAGTTTGGATCTCGTGAATTTTAAATTATTTTAGCACTGTGTCTTTTTCGAATCGGTTTTTGTTGATCATGTATTTTATGTTGAGAGTGGTGTTAATTTGTCTTTGTACAAGAGCTTATTCATCAAGCAGCTTTTTATATTAGAATTTTCATGTGGCATATATTTGTTCATATTTCCATGTTGATATAAAGTTTATAATAAAAATTTTAAATATTTCTTACATTGTTTTTTGTGCATGTAAAACCAAATATATACTTAATATATATGCGTGACAACTGTTAGTCTTTAACCTTGAATCCAGGAATCTTAGGAAGTAATTCAGGCATTGCTTTTTGGTGAAGTTGATTTATATCTGGCTAATTTTTTATATGACTATCACGAGATTCAAAGGGAAAGAGATGCACACGGACGATGAAAGCGAGATTGAATACACGGTGGTTAAGCGCGTTGCGTCCGTTACGATTGAATCGGATAGTCAGGTGGAAGCAGAAGTGCAACAGCGATCTGGACGTATAAGACGGAAGAAAAGGATTGTGAAACGGAAAAATGTTAATGACAAGATGGATGTCGATATTATTGCTTCTCAGTTCAGTATCATAAACAGAGGTGACATTGTGCAGATCAGTTGATTTAAGCAACGAAGTGTTTCTGGTTTTATCAGTGTGCAGGTTCCGTATACTACATGACTTAAATTTTTATGACCTAAGTTTGGGACGGTATTCAGTAACTACGAAAATTAAAGGATTAAAATAATTTAGGGATGGACTGGGATGGCCTGTGCTCAGCAAGTGAATTGTCATCTTCTGAAACCTGCTCCTCCGATGGTCGTGAGGCGGACGATGAACAATCAGATTGGGTTGGTCGTATAAATGAAGACCAAAACTTTCCTCTTCCGCAGATATCGACGAAGCAACAGCGCTTTATTAAGTAATTCTCAGATTTTTAATATTAGATAATCATGTTCTGACTGGTATTTCTCCTTTCTGTTGGACTTGAAGATTTCTGGATTAGCGCTTGCTCCTTTGAGCATAATTTAAACAGGATTGGAATTCAGAACGCGTACTGCATCAGCAGCTCTGCAACGAAAGCTTGAACGGTTTATTCGAGATGATAGTCAACGTGAACTTGTTGTGAAAAACTGGACCGGTTATCAGCAGGTAGCTTAAACTATTCAACTCAAAATCCAGAAACTAATTATGAAACCATTGATTAATTATGCTGTATGTGACTAGGCTAATGTATGATGTACAAGCGATTAAGAATTGGAACATTGCCTAACATATTATGATCATTGGCACATTGTACTTTTAGCATAATTATTTGACCATTTAAAATTCAGATGGGACTTTATTGCAGGTTAGTCGAGTTTTGCAATTTTTTGGTCTGGAAGTTTTGAAAAGAGGTCGTGGGATGGTAGTTTTGAAGAAGACACGATAAAATATGAAAATATGTTATTATTGTGTTGCAATTTTTTGTGACTTTTTTTTTGTGTTTTTTTTTTTTTTTGTGTTCGTTAATTTTGTGTATTCTGCATCGCTTTTTCAATTTATTTTTGGTATGGTTCTCGATACAAAGTTAAAACCGGTCTTGCCTTTAAGGTGCATTTAATTGCTTGCGGTGTTAAAGTAATAATTTGCTTGTTGTTTTTGTAAACCAAACAGCATTAAATTTGATATAAAACCACCATTTTGAAAAGCAAGTTTGTGCTATGATATATCTTACCGTTTTGAATTTCATTGAATTTGAAATCCTCTTAAAACTAAATTTGAGATAGATAATGCGGATGCGGTAAGTAACGGAAAGGCGGTTGGCCTGTTAAATTTATAGTCATTAAATTTGAATTGCATCCTTCCGGTGTTAATTTAACCTTATTTATCTCAGTTTTTATTAGTGCTAAATCTGCACTTTTTTAGGATTTCCAACGAAAGCTACCTCAAAGTTGTTGCGAAGAGTACTATATGCCGGAAGAGACAAATCTAACAGGCCAAAGACGCTTGACATTTAAAGTGTATGGGATTGTGATCAGTATTTTTTTTTGTCTTGCGAAATTTTCGGAGAAGAGAGTTTAAAAATCCAACTTCATTCCCTTCGCACGTTAGATTTCGCAAATTTCAGTAAGGAAGGAATTCTGATTAAATAAATTCGGGTCATTTATATTAGTCCCGTTGAGCCTTTGTGAACGTTGGAAACTGCAGAGAGTTTGGAATACCAGTGAGAGGTGCATTCACTGGACAGGATTTTGAAGTGTTGGTCAATGAAGCAGTACGATTAGTATTAGGACAAAGTGCGCCGAATTATTCATTGGGTCTATTTAACGAGATTGAACGGAAAGGGTCTGTGGTTGTTCAAGCATCGGACGTGAATCTTATTTGGGCAGCACTTTCAGTATATGGACGTTTTTTTGGCAAACCAATCGCTTTGCATTTCAATTCGGTTGGCCTTTTAGTACTGTGTACTACTTGGCTTTATATATACTTACTTGGTTTCACCTCGGACTCGTGAAATACTTCTAAGACGATATTTTATTCTTAGAAAGAGGTCTAGTCGTCGTGTTAATAACGTAGCGGTGTTAAAAATACACGTAGAAAAGTAACTTAAAATACGCTTTAAATGACTTTGCTGAACATATCATCAAGTCGAGTATATTGATGTACTGTTTGATCCTACTGTTATTGGTGCTGAAACTGTAATATACTAAACCTATTTCAAGCGAATAATTCAAAATTAAGTTCCAATTACTAAAACAGTTGTTTTATTCTTTTTCAGTTAACTGAAGTTCGAGTGCTGTAAAATGGATATTTATTTCTGCATATCATGCCTTACATTTGGCATAGTTTTTATGTATGCCGTACTGTTGGTTCTGGTTTACATTTCATTACCACGGAAAAAGCCATTATTATTTGAGGGAAAGCATGCATTCATCACAGGTAGATCACATGTTGAATTAATTTTCTCTTAGATTGCTATGAACTTTCATGATATCCCTACTTCTTTGCTATCAGAGAATAACACTGAACACTTTAGAGTACAGCTTTCGCAATAAGCTATTGTTTTGTTCAGAGTTTTTAGATTCTTGTTTTTTTTTTTTTTTTTTTTTTTTTTTTTTTTTTTTTTGCGGTAAATTTTTCTTCTTTTAATAGTACAAAATTTTCTAAAATCAAAAAGTAGAACGCAACTTTTGCAGGTGGATCGAAAGGTATTGGAAAGGCAATCGCCGTAGCCTTAATTCGGCGCGGTTGTTCTGTTTCTTTGGTTGCACGTAACGTGAAACAGCTTGAATTCGTGTGTAATGAATTAAACGCACTCGCAAAAACGGAGAGAAATGGTGCAGTTGCAAAGTATTACAGTGTTGATGTCACTTCATCCTACACGGTGGTGAGGACTATTGTATAATAAGCGAGTGTCATTTAGAGTAAGAACAAAATAAGGAGTAAGAACAAAAATTAAAACCTAGTATTTGTTCAATTTTCTAATCAATCCTAATAAATTTTGATAAAATATTCTGAACTCTTCCTTTGAATTTAAACGAATTTTGTTTAGCTGAAAAGAGTGGTAGAAGAAGCGGAAAATGAACTTGGTGATATCAATATTTTGGTGAATAACGCGGGGTATGCTCTGCAAGGCGCTTTTGATTCGGTTGATGTATCAGTATATGAGGAACAAATGTATCTGAATTTTTTGAGCGCGGTATGCTTTTTATGTAAGGTGGAAAAGGCCGTCTTTATCTCGTTCTTTCCTTTCATACTGTTTCTTTTTCTATAAAATTCTTGTTTCGAGATCTGAGCAGTTTTATGATTTCATTATAGATCTATATACATCTTTTTTTTTTTCAATGTGTTAAATAAGTAAAATATTAATCCTTCGCGGAATTAAAGTGCCAGCACAACGGCAAGATATTTTTGCTTTCAGGTTTATATAACTAAAGCAGTGGTGTCCAAAATGAAAAATTCACGAGATGGTCAAATCATTTTTGTGAATTCTGCAGCCGGTCAATGTCCAATTTGGGGATATACTGCTTACGGAGCAACAAAATTCGCAATGCGTGGTTTCGCTGAAGCATTGTATATGGAGCTGCTTCCATATAGTGTTCAAGTATCGGTAATCTATCCTCCAAATACAAATACCGAAGGCTATCAGGTTCCAAGTTTTTTTTTTTTTTTTTTTCGGTTGTTGTAGTGTTTCAATGATTGGGATCTTATTCGTCACTGAATTTTTTTGCATATCATTGATGACCGTTATTTTTAAGCGTGAAATATTGACAATGCCAAAAGAATTAAAAGAAATCAGTGGTACCGCAGGACTATTTGAACCAGAAATGGTTGCTGAATGCCTCATTTATAATCTTTCTCGTGGTAATTATCACACATGCATTGGTTTGGAAGGCTGGGCACTTGGAGTATTGTCAGCGGGTGCTGCACCGGAAAAGAGCTTTTTGCAAGCTGCTGCACAGGTGATTGATTTAGCCTTGTTTTTTCTGTTTTGGACTTTCTTGGAATATTCAACAAATGATCAAAGTACATTTGCAGTTAACGCTATTTTTTCATTTTATCATTGTTATTGTTAGAGTAAAATTATCTGCAGACTTTATTCATACTTTTTCTTTATTTAGGTACTTCTTGGTGGCTTGTTGCGGGGGATCATGCTGATTTATATCGGTCATTTTAACTGGATAGTGGAGAAATATAGGCTTAAGCAATGAATATTTAGTTAGAATCTTAAGCTACATTCGTCTACTTGTTTGATCTTTTGCAGACTTGCTCACCTCTATAAATTTCTTGTTGCTTCTAATATTCCATTTGCACAATTAGAATCTTTTTATGATATCGCTTTAGACTTAGTCAAGGAAAAGTTCAAAACTTCGTAATAATAGCATGAAATTTATAATAAGCTTTAGTGATCCTTGAATCAGTGAAATTACAAAACAGCATCATATTACATCGCATTGTTACAGTAGGGAAGAAAGGAAAAGAAGAATCCAACTTTTTCATATAATTCCCTTTTAAGCATGCAATTTGCAATATGGTGCTCCATTCTTGGCATAAAAACTCTCTCCTTCTAAGTTCACATTGCAGCTCTGAAGTGAATTAAATTTGAGAACAGTAGATTAAGCATGTACCTAACATATGAATATTGCTTTTCTATATCTTTGATTTTTTTTTTGGCAAGATTATTTTTGTATTTTTAAAATTCAGAACTTTTCTATTTCATCAATAAAACTATGTAGCGTGATAAATTTACCGTGCAGTTAAAGCAGGTTGAATGGAATGCAACTCCAAGTGCTTCCACCCATCTGTCACCAGCTTCTATCGGGTAATGACACGACACGCACTTAGTTGTGAATAATGTATTCCAGTCTAGAATCCAGAGATCGTTTTTTATCTCAAACTGATATTTGAGAGAATATTAAGTCGACGCTCAGCTGTTTTATGAAGATTTAAGAAGTAGAATAATGTGACGAGCTTGCCTGTTTCGCAATACGGTTGTCCTTGTTCGAGGAAAAATGCAGAATTTCCAAATGGATTGTGACAGTACGTGCAAGCAAAGCAGTGCGGATGCCATTGTTTCTGGAGTGCATTGAGACAATCCTATAAAAAGAGATTAGATGGATAGTTATTTAGTTATCAACACGACTTCTGGAATTATTACTTTGACAGCTTAGACAGCGACTTCCTATTATGAAAGCAACGGTTTTTTCTTGTCCATCAAAGTTCTGGTTGAGCACTTTGACGGTATCGACCTCACGCTGCATACTTTTCTAAACAGTTTAAAGGACTAACAGCAATTATTGGTTGATTGCATTTGGCACAGCGTGGAGCAATTTCAGTCTCAAAGCAACGCTCGCAATATTTGTGTCCCTTTTCTTCTACAAAACCAATATCCAACAGTTTGCGACCACATAGTTTGTTAGAACATATAAAGTGATCTGGACAATATGCTAATCCATTGGCTAAGACGTATGCATCCCTGCAAAGCAACGCCAATTCCAAATTGTCAGATTTTTGAAAGCCGATCTAATTGATATCCTTCGTCGTAATCGCTAATATACAATGAATAATATCAATATGCCCGCATTAATTCAAGGTTACTTTCAGAACTTATGCATCTCTTGTTAATTTTTTGACTGGAATTGCTTGTGCAAACGTTTATTTCATAACAGAAAGGGAGAATTTACATTTACCTTATTTCTTGTTTGCAGTCTTCGCAGCAAGATACACGATTACTTTGAGCATGAAGTATATCTCGACTTTTTGCCAACTCAATTTGCGGTTCATGTACATTTGATGGTTTGTTATACGAATCCCTGTTGACTGCAAGATTTCACAACTCTAATTTTAGAGAGACAAACGGGAAGGCAGCATGTTTTTAAGCCAAAAAGTTGAAAACTTTAAATGAAGCAAGCGAAAATTTATAGAAGCGAGTTATGTCGCCAGTATATGTGGAATCATAGATAAATGAGTGCGTTATAGAAGTGGAATTACAAAAATTGGAATTTGGATGTAAACTGTCATTGGCATCGTCGGAATAAGCGTTTCAAATACTGTGAAAATAGAAAAATGCATAAACGTAAAAAATGAAGAAAGTAATAGAAAAGAGTGACTATAAAAATTAGTTAACAGATTCCTCAATGGATTTATTTTGGATCATACTCATAAATGCCCATAAACTAATGTTGGCTAACGGAATGTCGTTTGCGATACTTTTCGATGTTACTATATTACTGTAATGCTATAAACATAGTTTACTACCCGTCGTAAAGCTCTTGATATGAAGAACATTTGCACTCAGTAAGATATATGGAAATAAAACAATCACTTATAAAAATTTAGATTTATCTGAACGTTAATTATACGACTGTTAGTAGTATTAAATTAGTAAAGTAACCAGAAAATAGCATACACCTGCATGCATATTTGCTTCAAAAGTAATAAAATTACTGGAATGAAAAGATGAAAAAGGAAAAAGGAACGTAAAAGAGCACCAAGGAATGACATGGGAACACATCTTCATTCCAATGCTGTTTCATGGAATATTTCAAGAATAGGTGTAACGGTTTACGACACCCAAATAATTTTCACATTAAAAACATCACCATCAGAATCTTGACAATTGTTTAATCGATTTTCCATTACTTTTATTACTTTACGTATACATTAATTTGTCTTCCATGCTAGAGCACCGTAGTACTATGTAAAATGTATAACTGACCTAACATAATTGAATTTTCTTTTGAAAAGTTCGTTGAAGACATAAGATTTCTAGAATCAGAAATTTTTATAAAATCTCCAAAGCTTTATTTTATAAGTGTTCGAGAAAAATTCCATTAAAGCATGAAGTCTCTACATACTTGTCAAGATTTTGGAGGAAATCAATAGCGTTTCCAAGCATATATGAAAGTTCCTTTTCCGGATCACATAATTCCAGCTGATATCGAGCAATACTTTCAGTAATAGTCTATTTGCCACGTTCTTCAATAAGATCCGAAGCCATGGATTTTTCTTGTTCTTCCTCGACCTTTTCTCACTAACTGTTCGCCCTTATTGTGAAAAACAAACAAATTTCATTTTCCGCATATTCTCATTCTATTTCTTTTAATTGCCTTATTCATCTCATTATCTCCCACAGTAATATTTTGAGAAAAACAAGCTCCCTGATCCCAAAACATCAAGTTTCTTTTTTTTTTTTTTCTCCAGTAGCTGTATTTTTCTTTTCACTTGTATCTAGGTCGATATTCCCAATTTTATCGCACTGACTTGTATGGTTCGATGATTCTGTTCCATTAGACGACGTCTGACCATCATGTACTTTCTTGATGGGAAGACTTCTCATTTTTACAGTACTGCTACTGTGTACTGTTTCTACATCAACATCGAGATTTTGCTCCTTCTTTTACTGTCTCTGTTTCTTCCATATTCTTGCGTTTCCAAATTTTCTGTGTTATGATCAATATCCTAAGGAGTTTTAACCAAACCTTTCTTGTTCTGAATATGTTGTTGCTTTTGTTCTTTGATATTATTCGTTGAACAATCATTACCACGCTCACAGCTACAAATAATTCTACTGTTCAAAGCTCCTGCACTAGTCATGTCCTTTACCTCTACTTTGTGCTTTTCTTCCCTATGATAGTTCAATCCATCTGAAAAACACTTTCGTTGCTTCATATGTCCTGGATAATTCGGATTTCGGAAAAGTTTATCACATGGCGTCAGATGGTATCTGCATTGCATGCTAAAATTACTTTCAGTGATTCTGTTTCTTCCCAGGTGATTAAGACGACAATTTTTTTTGTTCATCTCTTAACAAGTACCGTTTTGGACTCGACAATTTTAGCCGCTTAACCTCATTTCCCTTGATAAATTTTGACGAAGGAAAGAACAATTCATAGTGTTCTAGTTTGTTAGAGGTCAAATCGTTAGAAGTAGTAGCAGTCAAATGATTGCATTGCCAATATCTCATAATTTTATGGGATGCTGGAGGCCAGTGATGTTTGCATGGAAGCCGACGTAGCGACGTCACTTTTTGAATTTCAAGCGGTAAAGACCGTACACGATTTAACAACATTCGCGAAGGTTGGTGGGACACGTTGACCGGACACGTTGCCTGCGTGAAGACAAGATGACGTACAACATAAGGGACGTTGACAAGTTTACGAAACAAAATTTGGCATGAATAACTCTGATTGAAATTAAGTCTCAAACATTTGTATAAGCAAAACTCGAATTCACATAAAAACATCATGTTACTTTCTATACAATTATTAGATTTATTTCGTAGCAGCGTATTATCTGTAAAGCCAAGGAAACATGATTTTCATTTTTACGTAAATTTTTTGGTATTAAAAACTAAATTAAGGTCTAATTGGTGAATTTGTAATCTTCAATTTGTTTTCCAATTTCATTTTGATTGGCACTTTTTGGCCACCACTCAATAATCGTCTATTCTCAGCCGATTAAGTTCTTGCTGTTATGCAGCTTCGGTAATATCATTTACCTGAACTCATTGAAGAACTGTAAATTTCTTTCCTCAGTTCATTTAATTCGTGGCCATACTGAGTAGCCGCTGGTGGCACACCTCGACTGCTAGGACTGAAATCTTATTTTAAGTTGTGGGTATTTTAACATAATACATATTAAGTTTAAACAAAGATGCATCAAGAAAAAGAAAAAATGTCTGTCATGACTCACCAAAAATGGAATTATATTTTCTTTTATTTTTGCATTTATTATTATTAAAAATTGGACAGTAGAAGACATGGTTCCTCATTTAGTTTTAACATAGTGATTTCCTTTTATACTAGAGAAACAAGCGAATTACTAATCACTTAATCACTCAAGAATTCAAACATTTGTTTTTAAATTTGTTTTAGCTTGAATACAATCCATGTTAAACAATTTTTTTGGTGCAAATTATACAAAAGAGTTGATTTTAAGAAAAAATCTGAAATCGATAAATAATGAAAACATTGATCGAAGTTATTTGTACACCACTGTTGAATTTCATCTTCAAACTAGTGAATATGGAATTGTTAATTATTTAAAAGAAGAAAGAATAGAAATAAAAGTTGAAAACTTAGTTCTATTTTCTAAATGTCTTTTAGCAGATTGTTGGTGGTTTTGTCATTTACAACTATTTGATCATATAATAATAAATTCGAGTGGACTTTAAAGCTGATGAGAAATCGAAATGATGTCAGTGGCAACGGTCAGAAACCAAATAATTATATTTTTTCTGGAGAGGTAAATAAGATATCCTTTCCTTCAATTGTAAGCAAACCTGATAAAGGCAAAAGGTTTGGGTCTGACAAAACGTGTCTTTAAAAATGAAAAAAACTGTAGAAAAATTAATTTTTTCAGCACCTGATGGGACTTTGTGTTTTCCACGGTGTTGGACTGATTGAAATTGACTGCCCAGTTGTAATTTCTGGATGATACGGAGTTAGCAAAGTATTTTTGTCAGAAGCTGGAACCATTTTAGACCTCTCCCTGAAAAAGAAAAACCTAAAATAGTTGAGTATTTCATAGAATTTAAAAAAATCTATATAGTCATGAAAAATTGGTTTCTTCTGTTTTGTTTCTGCTTTTCTCGCTGTATCTGCATTCTATTCGACAATTTAGTTAAGCAAAGCTGAGTAGCTTGGAATTCGTTCGAGGTAATCTCATACTGTCACATTATCGTATCAAAATATAATACCAATGCTATCATCACTGCTAACCACTATGGACGTTTTTGTTATGTTATTTAAATTAAAGACATTCTTTGTACACACTAGATGTTTTGTGCCAAATTTTGGAATCTGTTATTGTGAGATCCTAATCCAGAATCACATAATGTACTTTTGTAACAGGAAAGTAACGGAGAAACAATAAGAGAAGAGCAGGTAAAACGAAAATAAAAAAATGGAAGGAAGAAAAAAATATCGCCGATATTTTTTCGCTGCGCACCAAATCTTTTTTTTACAAGATATTTCTGAGTTTCATACCTAGAAACGAATTTAGAACTAATCGATTACAATAGAATCTATTACTATCGAAGGGTAACAAAATTAACATACCAATGGATCTCGTTACGTCTTGCAACGCCACCACCTCCTCTAAGCTGATGACCATGGACGTCACAGTAAAACTTGTCGTTGATAAAGTGGTGTCCTTGATTCTTCAGCGAGCTGCCGCATGTCGAACATTGGAAGCAATCACTATGTAGTGTACGATCAAATGCTCTACACATCACTCCTCTAAAATGTTCAGATTTTGAAATATATAACGGTGATTGAAGTCATGATACCTCTTACTGTTATCTAGGTACTATTTTCATTTAAAAATTAGTAGTTAGTACAAGGACAAGAATAGTGTAGCTCAGCTCCGTCTATCATACCTTATTTTATAAAAAGTCCTGCCTCTTTAGATGCTTACGGCAGGATTTATTTCGGATAAGGAACTGATTCAGAGTAACGAGTTATAAATCATAACTGAATGAAAAATGAAACTATGCAATTTTTTATAATTGAGTGGTTTTTTACAATTGGAAATTTTTAGCTATTAAAAATTTTTAATGAAAAAATTTTGTTTTTTCTTCATAGAAAAAAAAATTTCATAATTTTATTGGCGCAATAAGCTTTGCTTAATTTTTAGCATATTTAAATTTTACTATTTTAATGCTTTATTGGAAGAGGATGGTGGGAGAAGAACATGAGACCCTCAACTTCCTTAATATATTCAATACATTTAAAAAATCTTTTCATATCATTTCATTTGTGCATCAGATAGATTAAGCAGGATGAAATGACAAGATTTATAGAAATGACTTCGTTCCCTTATGCAATTTAATTCAAATGAATTTTCTTATGAGTGGGTTTTTTATTATAAATACCAAAATCATTTAACGAAAACATACAACTGAGAATGATATGGTAAAGTATTATGCTGAGTATCAACACTCTAAATAAAGTCCAAAAATTGCAATACATGAAGAAATACAATGTTCAAAAATCTCCAACTAAATATCATGATAGTATTTTGAGTTAATTTTAGGTTATCCGGAGCATTACAATAACATTATAATAACTTTTAGGTTCGTTTTTTCAGCAAAAGATTAGAGTAATAATTACATAAGCACCTCCTGTTGCTGCATCTCCAATGAGGTTGTATTCTCAGAGGTATAAAAACCACTTTTCAGAATACGACCTCACTGGAGGAAAAATGATAAAAATCACTTTTCAGAATACGACCTCACTGGAGGAAAAATGAAGTCCTTATATCTCTCCAAAATTTCTCTTCCAATACAACATTAAAATGCGGTTATTAAAAAAGAAAAACTTGAATGTGTTAACTAATCAGACATAATTTGATAACAATGTCGATTGAGTAAAGCTTATTACACCGACAGAATTATGTTTCTAAAGCGATAATATCGTAATTTATGTTTGGATTTGCAAGAAAGAATTTCCATCAAAAATTTTTGAGCAAAATCGGAACATATTCAGATTTTCTGCTAGAATTAATATCACAAACGTAAATGGAAAATGTACAAGCAACGTACTTTATATTGCGTCCACAAATAAAACACATCGGTACTTCGGAAATATTTTTCAATTTCGGTCGAGTTGTTTCTGGAAGTTGAATTCAGTATAAAATTCTTTGCTGCTGCATAACATTATAATACCTGACTCAATTGTTTAAAGCACTACATTGGCTGCAGTACCGTTTGAAATTAAAAACTCTGAAACTTTACTACATGAGTGTTGGTTAATTTCCACCAAGACCTATGAAAATTTCAAGAGCTTAACTGAAAAGAAATAAAAAATCAAAGTTCTGATAGCATACCATAACCAGCTTTAATTGGCCTAACTGGTATCATTTGTTCACCATTTTCTTTAGAACGCTCGCATTCTTGGATAAGGCGAAGCGTCTCAGACCGTAAATACGACGGAACTTCCATTTGTTTAGTCAAATTTGGGCTCAAATATTTTCACTTAATTATAAGTAATAGTAATTTGATAATAAAGTCTTGAATGCTATTCTGCTTCATGAGAAGAATTCAGTTCATCTTAGTTGTGGGAAGCTTTTGACAAATTGAACTTGGAAGTTTTACGGTTCAACACATTTAAATGCTAGCTTTTCATTCCGCAATAATGCTAGTTATGCATACTTCTGGTCCGTTCCTAATGCAAAAACCAATTTCCGTTGATACAACAAATTATATAGCAGTTATGAGTTGCAACGAAAAAAATAGGTCAGTTATTGCAACATATGGGGTCAGAATCAGGATGTCCGTGATGAACACAGTTCGTTTAAGTCATTCGGTTTCACTTCTCTGCATGTGCAAGCTAAATTTTAATTTGATTTGCAAACAAATCAAATTTTTAATATATGTAAGTTACTGTTTTTGATAATGTTAAGATCAAAAAATGTTGATTACTTTAGTTAAAGCTTACTCAGTCCCAAATAATCCACCTGTTTGCTGAAGATATTGTTCAGCAGCAGTTTGAGGAGAATAAAGAGGCATAGGTGAATTGTACTGTAAATGTTTCACTTCCTGATGATCACCGAATGGTTGAGCTGCAACATTAAAACCCGGAATTGCAATTGATTCCTGAAAAAATTATATTTGGCAAATGGCGAATAATCCACCAAAACTAGTTTTATTCAGCAGTATGTAACTGATTACTTAATTTGAATTAACAGGATCCTTGGTTTCAAATCTAGGAAAATTATTCTTTTATATTTCAAAATAGCCATATTGGAAAAGCCATATATAAGAAGTTTAAATCGTCTAGAAATTAAATGAAAGAATAGAAATACGAAATAAAAAGAAACGATCAACAAAACTATTTAGTTCCTCTGTGCTGCTGTAAATTATGGCACAGGAAATGGGCAGGGACTGCATTTTTCAAAATTGAAATCCCGTGTACATCAGGGCTGAATTACTGACTGGTTTTCTAAAGAGTAAAATGGTAAATTTAAATCTAAATTAAAAATGAAATAATGCCATAATCAATTTCAGTACAAATCTGGTCGAAAAAAATAACGGCTAATGCATATTTTATATATATAATATATTTTTTTCTGAAATACATTAAAAAAACAACGTGTATATTTGACATAAATTTCAACTATGTTTTTGTGTGGATAGTATTTATGTAGTAAATAAAGTACTGTTAACAAAATTGCTTTTGAATATAAAACCATTAATCAAGTAAGACAGCATCTTTTGAGCAGTGGCCCAGCTGAACCATTTCAGCCTGCTGACAAAGATGCAAAAAAATAACCAAAGAAACTCTGGAGCTTTAAAATGCAGACTGGAACCCAACTTAAATTATGGCTTTCTTTATCAATCGGTGCCACTGATTGTTATGAATTTTTGAAATCGGAATCTGACAAAGATGAAAAATTAATAAATTGGAAATAGAATGGAAGTGCACCAGTCTAGAAAGCTACTCGGACCAACTGAAACTTGTGAGAAAACTGCGAACAAATACAATTAGATATGGAAAAACACAAATATGTCAAACAGTCATAAGCGGGAAAAAAGATATACTTCATTCTAACTGTCGCGTGTATTGCTGTAAACAACTTATAGGCAATTTCAGATCTGTGGAGAATGTTGTCTACAGTTTTCAGATTATAAGTTTGCTATTTAATATTGGTATCTAGTTGTTTTTTATAAATCTTCATATTCCTCAACTATGCAGAATTTTGATTTAAGACAGCTAAATTCCATTTACTTATTAGATAAATTTATCGTACTGGAGAATTCTCAGTAAAAATTTCTTAAGAACTTTAGAATTTTTCAACAAAATAGGTTTGAATAATCTTTATTCTATTGGTTGGCACTTCCTTCACATGCTTAACTTATTAATTAATCCACGAATAAGTTAACTGAGTCTCAAATTAGTGACAATTAAAAGCGAAAAATAACTTCAAACCAAAAACAGTTGAAGTTTCCCATTTTCAATTTCTAAGCATCTCATTAAGAAAGATGAGGTGTCAGTCTATCGTTTCACGTGTTTGGAAAGGGAACAAATTTATTGTATCAAATGTCATAAGGAAAAATGTTTTGAAATTAGGGTAAGATCATGATTATCGATATTTGAAATCAAATTTGCACCTTAACTGGTTTGGAACATTCTTTGTAATGTAATCATTTCTGGTCTCTTTCTGTTCAAAAAATTTAAAAAGTGCACAAAAATTTTCATTGAAACTCGGGCAATTGGAAAATAAGTAAAATTCTGGACTGTAATGCGGATGAAATGGAATAAAAGGTGGAAATTAAATTTTGATGAAATACATTTTTAAATCGACTTAGAAAATTTTGTTGCTTCAAGCTATTACATAACTCTATCAAGACAAAGCTTTGTTATCTCAAAAGTTTCACCGTATTACTCTCATAATGCCTCACTCTCATAATTCCTATTTCAAAGAAGAGGAAAACGAAGGAAAGAACATGCTAGTTTGACTGGATTTTTATAATTTTAATCAAAGTGAAGCAAAAATTACCGGATTTTGGTGTTCCAGAGAAACTTTTAAAGGAACAATCGGAGGTCCCATTTTTTCTGTATTGGTCGAAGCAACACTGAATACAGAATGTTGAAATTTGTTATATTCTGTATTTTCGGTTACCGACGGTTGCCAAATTCGATGAGTCATGTTGCCTCCTGTCCTAAAATCATCTATTTTTGTTACAATTGAAGATTGAATTGCATTGATCTTCGCAGAAATAAAAAAAAAAAAGGGAAAATTTACCACGGTTTAGGTGTACAGGCAAGTTGATACATAAGAAGAATTAAACTGAAATGTTCGAATAGAACGAGCGCAAAGGATACCTTTTAGTTGAACTGAACGAAAAATTTTCAAAATTAGGGCAATGCATGTGTAGCTCACTTTGACATTTGCCATGTGTGCAATTTGAAAAATTTCCTCGAAAATAATGACACACGCTCAAATAAATTCTAACAATTTCTTATCAAAACATGAAACGCGCTGATACTTCCTCTGTTCTACCGTTCTGCCGCAATTACTGTTAAAATTATTTTTTATACTTCTTATGAATAGTAAATCAAAATCAAAGATACTCTGCATTATTCTACAAATCAACACAACCTCAAAATCTCGACTTAATTTAAAAATGGAAAAAGAAACTAGTTAAATGATCAACATGAAAGTTTTTAGCTCCCTAAATTGGACTGAAAGATCGGTAGTGGTTCAAACGTTGCTTATTAACACCTTTAATGAAAAAGATGAATATACAATTATATGATAATAAAAGCTGTTGTCACTATTACTGCCACTGTTTTGACTGATTAATTTGATCACTTACCTATGCACAACCAATTCCACTCTGTGTTCTGTTTTCGACAACAATTGTTTTGCTAATTCGATATTTAAATTCTGGTGACCTTCAAGTTCTACTAAAACATCACCATTTAATAAACCAGCACGATCAGCTAGTGATCCTCCGATTGTCTGAAGAAAATTTCCATATTACGATATAAATATATTTAACGGAGTTAGAAACTGTAGATTCAGTGACACTTTTGAAGTGTATATATGTAATTTTCTTAACATACTTTAATTAGTTATCAGCAGCATTGATACAAAAGAATTAGACTACTTAAATGTCAAGTAAATTAGCAGTTATCACTTAATCAGCTAGTGACTCTTTGATTATTTGAAGAAAACGGCAGTGCCTTTTAGAAAACCCTATCACTGACAATAAGTTTTTAAGTTTCTATTTATTTCGTCATAAACATGTTTATCTTTTAAAAATTGGTATGCACCTGAAAGTAGTAGGATAAGTAATGATAAAATTCCGTTATCAGAAATGGAACAAAAAGTAAAGTTCTGAGTAGCGGAATTGCTGATCAGAAAAAACGATTTCTGGTAAAGGAAAAAAGGACTACTGTTTCTCTTCCTTATCTCCAATAGCTAGAAAAGATGCAAAGAAAGTCAAATGATCTACAAACATTCTCTATCGCGATGTTTTTTTAAATGAAGCGTTAGGCGTATTTGTGAACAGCACTAGTTGCAGAGAGTCAACTCATCATAGCAACATTTTTTTTTTGTAGCACTTAATTCTATGAGTTGGGTTCTGAAAATTAAGGATACGATTAGAATTTCGTGTGAAAAGTTGGATTCAGAGAAATGGAGAAATTTTTTTAACTAAGAATATGAAAAGGTAAAGGGAAATATTCACAGTCGAAATGTAATTCTAGTCTAATTTTTCTTTACGCGGAGGATTGGTACTAATATTTTTGCGAAAATATAATAAAGTCATAATTGACAAGTAACCTATTCAGATCGTTCTTAGGTTGGAAATTTAGCAAGCACATAATCCTCAGGATTACAGAACTAACTAGTCAGAAAACTATCTTTTCCAATGACACCTCATGTAAATGGCAATGAAGAACGTGTAATATTGAGCATCAAATATTTTTCGTTCATTAAATCTACAGTGGAAGAACTGTAAGAATTCGATGAACAAAAAAGACGAATTTTGTGAATTTTCAGAATACAATTATATGAAATCGTTTTACCTTTTCTTCGGTAAAAATTTTAATCATTTTGTAACAAATTTTAGCTTTTCAGTTTCTAAACCATGAAGTGCGTCAAATTTACATCTTATAGTGAATTGTCGAGTCTTTTCAAAAGTTTGCTCAAAACAATCTGATGCAAGATTGTAATACAAACATAAAAAAATGGAAAGCAATCATCCATAAAATTTGAAAACATTAGAAAACAAATTATCTACGTGACAATTTTTGATAATTATACATTGATGATGGTGAGTTCAGGTCCAATATCGAAACCCCACGGCGTATTCATTTGGCCCCGCGACATACGCACCGTCACCATTTCTGCCTGAGCCATTGTTGTATCCTCTAAAGCAAATTCAACCACCGAACTATTCTGAAAGTCTTTCAGATAATTTTGGAAAAAATCTACCGACCACAAAATTTCGAATAATTTCTACGTCAAAGTAGTAATAACAACGCATTCTGAATAATAAGCTGTAGTAAGCTATTCAAAGCATTGTCCACTTCTTATTTTTACGAACAGCAATCTATCGAAATTATAAAGTATTCAATAGCCATTTGCATAAAGAATTTCAACAACTTCCTCAACCATATTCAAAGTCGTCAACCGCAAACAAATCTTGATAATGACAGTGATATTAAAAACACCTTGGCAAATATTCCCATTTCTTAGCACAGTATTTTCTTGCAAAATACTTGCAAGTGCACGTACGGAATTTCAAAATAGAAAGCTTGCTTTCAACGAGGATCCTAGAAATGTTCAATGAAGAATTCAGAAATTCGATCAAAAACCAGGACTTTTAGACCGGTGTTGAACATGTAACATTTCGGAAAAAAATTTACATTCACAATCAAATACTATATATTAATAAATCTGATGTATGTACTGATTTGTAGCTGTATATGAGCGAGTGTGGTGAAGAAAATTAAGAGATATCCTAAGTACCTAAGTAGTTGAATTCAAATTTAAGTGAGGTTTTGTAACTAGAAAATTAGGGAAAAAACGTAATCTAAACATTTCCGCAAGATTGTATTTCAATAAAATTAGAAGTGGAAAATATAACATCTTCGAAACTTTGACTATTTCATTTTTAAGTTTGGTTGCATCATCACTACTTAATCATTTATCAAGTGGGACGAGATGGAGGTTATCATACCATGCTTATCAACTGACTTCGAATAAACCTACATTTCTAAATGGCCAGGGAAGGGAACGAAAGGACAAACACTCATGCTGTGGACGACATCTAGTTTGAAGTGACTGAGTACGGGTGGAAACAACACCCCAATGCTTTTAGCATGATTTCTGAATGTAAGTGCTTTACGTTGTTCTTATTGTATTCACACTCCCTCCTCATATGTGTGTGTGTGTTGCAAGTGGATGTGAGTGGGTGGATGAGTGTGTGTTGGTCTATGGGTGGTGGTGATGGAAATCACAAAATGAAAGCTAAATAACCATCGCAACAGACAGTGTTATTATGTTGCCAATTCAGACGATATTTTACAAACGAAGTAGTACACAATAGACAACTTAATTGATCCTATAATTATCGTTAGATACTCAGTTTGAATCATTAGTTTTTTTTTTTTTTAAGGTTCAAAAAGTGATATTTTGAGAATTGGAAATTATTTATTAATAATACTTTCAGGCAATAATTTCTGAAACATAAGCATGAGAAATGAAAGAAATTTGAAGAAAAGAATAGTTTTTGCATAGTATAAAATAGCATGAATGAAACGCTTGAAGAAGCATTTAATAGCATAAGTAGCACCTTACGATGTTCGTCTTCACATTTCACAGTAAACTATCATTTCATTCATCGTATTCCTATAATTTGCCCCATGCTTATAAATTCATATAGTATTTAAGGGTAGTATCAACAAATGCTCCCTAAAACTGGATACAAATAAGATGATAATTTGGAACTGATATTTTCATGTTAGGAAAGTAAGGAAATTGCGTAACCTAAATAATTTAGAACTTGATTAGCTAGTTTACGATTTACTGAGGCATTTCGACACTGATGTTCGCACACACCACTACAAACAAATGTTGCTAATTTAAATAACGATCTAATTAAGACAAAGTAGCAGCACAGCACATATTATGCTTGTATAATAATTTAGGAAAATTTATTGTTTTTGGATTAGTAGTAAAACTGTTCTGGTCAGCAAGCCAGTGATGTCGAAAAATATTGGCAGTAATATTCAAACAGATGTTGCAGTTACAGCTATCAAATATATATATGAACGGATTAATTTAAATTATTTGAGTTTACAATGAATAACTTAATAACAAATAGCCCAGCGTTATCAAATAGATAATACATGGAAAGATTCATTCGCCTTCGCAAATATTACAGATATTACATTGGTAAAGAGATAAACTGTTTTCATATTCGACCAACATAGTAGACTTAAACAAATGCGCTCTAAAGCCATCCTACAAAAATTTTGCAGCTTTTAATGTGTTTGAGTCATTATCACTATAAATGAAGCAAAACTGCACTTGCCGACATATTTATCAGCAAATTACTACTCTACCAACACTTTACAACATTTATACTGATTATGTAACTAATTGCATAAAATTTTACGGCAACGTGATAATATGCCACATAGAAGATACTTTATGATATAACTCTATTTAGATAACTTACTACAAAATTTTAATTGCTTATTTTCAGATGAAATGAATTCACATTCCGTTTAAAGTTTTCTACAGTGAAAGGCTATGGATGAGTGTGTGTGAGGTAGGAAAGGACATAAAAGTGGGTGGTTGCGATACAATGCATATGTGATACATGGAAGGAAGGAGTGAGGAAGCTCAGAAGACAGTATCGACGATCAATATAGTTATTAAAAAGTTTATCCAGTCAGCAATAGACTCTTTGTTGGAACTATGCTTTGCTTAAGCATTTCACTAAGATAGCCCAATGATTTTTCCTACAAAGCTAAGACGAAGATATTATGTTGTAAAATTTGAAAATAATGAATGATGGGATTATTTAAGCATTATAAGCATTTAAAATTTGCATTGTTAAAATGAATTGTCAAGCACCAAATTATTATTAAGCTCTATTATTAAAGCTCACAGGTGAATGACATTTTGAACTTCGAGATCTACAAAATTACTTCAAATTGTTCAAAAAAAAAGTCAAACTTAAATTTCGGAAGCAATAGACTTTGTGATAACACAACAATTTCTACATCTTTAAAACTATTAATTTTATCAACAATAAACTGACAAATTAAGCATAGTATGCATTGTATTTTCATTCAAAATTTTCCAGACCGATTTATTCCTAGTAATTTCCAATAAGTGCCGCTTTTTCGGTTTGGTAAATAGCAACACAGAAATAATGATTGATCAAGCTGAACAAAACTCGAAATGTGTATGAAACTTAATTTTATTTGTGATGAAGCAAATTGGCATTGACTACTGTTTATTGTTTTGAAAGACTTTTTCTAAGCATTGAAGACAGTTTTTTTGATCAATCAGACTGCAACATTCGTGCGGGAATTTATACGTACACATTACTCAGCTAATCTGATTTGTACTGGCTGGAGGATTGTCGATTCTATCATATTTAAGAAATCATGTATCATGTTAGAACAGTGGTATATCGGGAATCAGATTTATTATAAGTGTACTTCCCTTTAGATATTTGTGATATGTAGTGAATACAAATGATGTGACAAAATGAGGAGTCTGCAGAAGGTTAAGGTTACAAATATGACGCATTGTTTGAAAAATTACAGATACATTAGTGGCATTTCAAATGGTTGTTATGTACACAGAGAAAAGAAGGTTACTGGGATTAAGATGAACAAATACATCAAAGGATTGAAAAGTTGTTAAAATGCCGAAACTTAATAGCTGAAATATTAGATTAGCTTCGTTTGAAGGGTAACAAAATGAAGAGTTTGTACAGAGTTAAATAGCTTCGTTCGATAGAATTGTGTTTTAAGAAATGAGCTTTCGCAGCTGTTCCTCCATCTATTCCAACAACTGCATCACTACAACTAAGTGCTTATAAGTCAAAAACTAGCTTTCGACCTCTCTTCTTTTTCTGCTTCTAATCTACATCATTTTGCACTAAAAGACTTCAGTGTATACAAAGCCTGAATTTTTGAGTGCTCCCCAAAAATGTATACGTAGCTTAAAAGAACTTTTATTTTCAGACTACTTTATTTTATTCTGTTCTGAATACTTTGTAACTGCATCTGATTAAATGATTTCGAGGATTGTAACACGCTATCCATCAACCTATTAGTTCTTGAAATTCATTCGCTGCAATAATTTTAAGTATCCGCGAAGTTTAGTTAACTTTTATTTAAAATACAGAAGTAATACTTGAGAAATTTTTATTCAATATTGCTACACCTATCATCCATGGAGATCATTACCTCACGACTAAAAATCTCGGTTTATTTCTACCGATTCCACGAAGCACATGTTGGAGTGGCCACAAAACTACTGATGATTAACAATTTTTATAAATTAGTGTGGTAGGAATTAGAGAAGTCTGCGTCATCTAAAGTAATGTCGAAAATCAGTCACTGAAATAAATACTATTAAAAAAAAGAGAACTATTCCATTGGAAAAAAAAAATATATTATTTTCATTTTTAATATCGTTAGGTAACTTATTGTTATTAACATCCGAGAACATTAGTATAAAAATCGAAGAATGTGAAATTTTCTTCTCTTTACTCTTTCTATTGAACTTTTATTTCAGAATCAAAAGCATGATTCTGATATTTCTTTTATTTGAAAAAAAAGTTGTAAATGTTGGTTGATTTCATTTAGCATAAAGTTCCCTTCTATTCATGAATCTTTTGTACAGTACAAAGCATAACTGAATCCTTCCGTAATCTTTAAGAGGTCCTTCAATAAAAGACTATTTCGTCATCCAAGAGACATTATTTAAATCCTCAGAACAATTTCCAATTAGATGTTATCACTTAAGTGAAACAAATCAGATCAAACAGTAATTTGGTAATTTGGATGAAAAGAGGAGGAGTGGTAATCCATGAGAGAATGAAATAATGATCAACATTAGTAACATTATTACAATTGTTTTAGAAAAATCTGGACGAAAAGTATTGATTTCTATCAGAGTAGTAATCTATACAATTCTGATTGACCAATTCAATCATGCCTCTTAGTATTTGCTATTTTTAACCAAAAATTTTAGAACTGTATTAAATCTTGCAAATTACACCTTCCCAGCCGTAAAAAGTGAATGAAATATGAAACGTTAACCACTCGTCGAAAAAAGTGTTTAGTGTTCATAAAATTTAATTTTTTTATTACCAAGATCTAAAAAAA